ATTTGATTTACGTGAAATTTTCATGTTGTGGTCCGCACGTGTTACGACGGCACGTGACGCGGCCGTAGCACGCCCTGAGTTGCGTGGAGTGCGAGGGCCCACCCAACGCTGCTTGCAGCTTTAATTATTTTTATTGTTGAAATGCTGAAGTGAGCTTCAAGATAATACCATCACTGACAAGCATGCATCGCCTGGTGCAGAAAGTGTTTACAGAATAATATTTTTCATAATAATACAAATACTAAACAACAATAAAAGCGCTGTCACTGAGATTACACAGGTTTACTGAGGTTGGACCTTAGCAGCACACATCTATCTGACCAAAAAATACACCAATACAATACAAATGGAAGCCATAAGGTCAAAATGTGCAACATTAGACACAAAGTGATCCAAATGGCAACAGTCCCTTCACAGGATTAGTGGAAAGGATTAAGTGGCATCTAGTGGTAAGGGAGCAGATTGCAACCAACTGAATACTGCTTGCCTTCCCAACATAAAGGAGGAACTACAGTGGCTGCAAAACTTGCAAAAGGCACCATCTAGGGCCACTGTCTGGTTTGTCCGTTTTAGGCTAGTAACTTTGGTAATTTTAAGTGTTAATCAGGGATGTTTCTATATTTTAATTAAGTTAGTGTCACTTAAAATTACTAGTAAAAGCTACTTCATCAAGAACCATTTTGACTTATAAAGTTTAGTTTTTTTTTCTTCAAAATATTTGATGTAATCAGTTTCAACAATTTTTTGAGTCAAATAAACTTAAAACCACCCACTCCTGTGGATAAATCGGCTCATGAAGTTAACAAAAACACAATGAATCTTATTTTAAGGTGATTTATACACTCATGAAAACATACCTATGAATATTATATTCCATTTCTGACCATAGATTCTTCTTAATGTTACACACTTGACCTTTATTTTGCTGCCAAGAGAAAGAAAAAATAAGAGCCGTCTTCTCCACCCTCAGGTTGAACCTTGGCCAGCGACTAACAGAAGAACAGAGCCGAGCTATGCCACTGGAGCTGCCAGAGGATCTTCATCTCTTCTTCAGCAGTCTCTGGGGGTTTGTTTCTGAAAGCTGAATAATGCATTCTTCTGCCACTCTGGGCAAAAGAAAAGAGACTGACAGTCAGTACAATGCGTGCTTCACCACACAATCATGCTTGGGTGCTGAACACCGTTGGCTCCGCTTGGACAATGGGAGTCTGGTTAGCCAACAGTTGACGAGCCGACGTCCAGAGATCCAGAGTCTAAAACTCATGCCTCTGACAGGTCTCTGTATTCATCCTCCAAGTTTTACCTCTCAGTACAGATGATTGCCTGGTTAAACAGAGACTAAATTAGATCAGCTACAGGCACAGAGAAACTGTATATCCAGAAAATAAATAAAATATACAACACAGTAAATTAACAAGAGAAAGAAAGACAAACTTAAGAAGGGAAGCACGTTCAGCTACGGTGTTTGATAATAGATGACACCAAGCAAAGGAAACAAATTTTATTTCTATTTTACAAAAAAGAAACATCTTGCATTGCATGTTTACTGTATTCATCCTTTTTCTGCTTCATTTGTGGAATAATTCTCTGGACATTTTGGACAAGAAAAAAAGTGTAATATTGATGAATCACCATCATAAAATGATAAAAACACAAATTGTGAATTAATTCTAATGTTGACAACCAGGATGAACATCCAAAATCATAAAAGGTAACAAACACACACAGATTTCCATAGCAAAGTGGACTAATCTCAATTTCACCAGTTTATTTTGGCCATGTCAGATAAACACGCTGACTGTTCGGCCTTCCACAGAGCCTCCTCTCTAAGATCTCTTTCATGGTGACAACAAGGTAAAACTGGAGGAAGGATTTGATTAGTTTGAGTGTGCCAAGTGTCATGAAAGCTACAAAATCCATCACCAAGATCTAATTGTTTCTATCATTTATCAAAAACAACTCAGTTTTTGCACAGAAACCTAGATGCAGAACTGAAATTTATGGAAGTATTTTGTTTATTATTATATTGTCATATTTGATTATTAAAGCTGCAGCAGGTATTTTTGGGGGGAAATTATTTTTTCATATTTGCTGAAACTTTCACTATATCCTGACCGTAGAAATGAGACAGATAATCTGTTGTTTTCATTTGGGACCACTAGTGGATTCTTGTAAATGTCATTAGGACCACTAGGAGGAGCCAGAGGAACCTGATTTTTTCACAGATTATCTGTCTCATGTACTGCAGTCAGGATATAGTGAACA